CCCAATCACTGCCTTGGTAAAATCTACGTATTTTAGGATGGCTGCGTTATTTGCCAAAAGAGGTGAAATATGGAATGCGGTGTTGCAATCAGGACAATTATGGAGTGAAAGCTGCATGAAATACATTAAGGCTGAAAGTGCTAAAGCCAACACTCACATGGTTACACGGTTTGACCGACACAGCCACAACTTCATTGTGAAAGAGACAATCGACCACAATGAAGGCCTGCCAAGACAAGAATACAGGGTCATTTTACCTTCTCAATGGTGCGATTGTGGCAGGTTTCAAGCATTTCGTATGCGTTGCTCTCATGTCATTGCCGCTTGTGCTCATACCCATCAAGACGCGCTTCAACTGCTGTCAAACGTTGCTCACTGTTTACAACAACAACTTTCCTTTGGTGGCAAAACCGGATTATTGGCCTGAATACAACGGCGATATAGTTTGGCACAATGACCAAATGCGAAGGAACAAGAAGGGTCGTCTCAAAAGTAGGCGCATCACAACAGAAATGGACGATCTTGACAGGTTGGAAAGAAAGTGTGGTTTATGCCGTCAGGTCGGACACAATCGCAAAAACTGTCCGAATCGGGCGTCTGGCTCGACCACATAAATATTGTAATACAATAAATCTTTTCAATATTTGTGTTGTAAACATTAGGGTTTTCCGTTAACAGATTTTGCTACAGTTAATAAAACGCGTACAACAATAATTAATGATATTCAATCTAGGAAATTACAACTGTTAACACAATTTCATCTGACCCATGCATCATCAGCATTACATCACTGTCTGTTTTGACTTCCTCCAACCACACATTAGGTCTTCCTGTCGCATGTGAGGTTGTTGTTCGTTTTCGTTGGATCCTTCGAATTTTCCCCCCTCCGCGATGTCTCCATCTAGCCACCGCATCAGCTCCCGCTTCAGACGCTCCATGGAGTGAATGTGCCAGAATTTCATTTTCATCGCAGGTTTCGTGGCGGAGAATATAACGTAACCATCTCTGCTAAAAATCATAGGCGACGTCATTACGCAAATAACGGAGTACAAAATAAAAATACAGTGCGAGAAAGTGTGAGAAATTTCGAAGAAACGGACAAATTATTTATAAAACAGCATTTTGCCCTAGGCGCCAAGTGAGATGGCGCCTCCTCTCATTTTTAAGGAGCATGCGCCATCTCACTTGGCTAAAAGCCAAGGGAGGCGCCAAGTGAGATGGCGCCTAGGGCAAAACCCTAGGTGGAGGCGCCAAGTGAGATGGCTCCTCCTTTGTGGAGCCATCTGAAACATGGTTATTTGCGTAATTTTTTCCGAAACCCGGTTATTTGCGAAATATTATTTTAATACATAGTTATTAATAAAAAAAATTATATATATATATATATATATATATATATATATATATATATATATATATATATATATATATATATATATATATATATATAAAAGCAAAATCAAATTTTTTATTAAAGATGATCCTCTTCCACTTCTTTTTTTTTTATTACATCGATCCTATTCCACTTTTGGTAATAAATAAAAATATAATTATTTTTTAATATTTCTTGAAAAAACATTAAGATTCTTAATTATTTCTAAAAATTCAATATACTTAATAAAAAATATTTCCTTCTTATTTTTAACCAAATCTCTCTCTTTTTTTGTTTATATATACTTTCTATAAGTTAAGTTTTATTCTATTCACCTAAAGTAAGTAATGAATCATGATTCAAAATATTTTATAAAAAAGATAACATTTCTTAAGAAAAAATGCTTCTTATTTAAAAAAAAAAAAGATTTTTTAAAATTATTATATTATATTCATTTAAATTAAATAATAGAACTAAATATATCAAAAGTGAAAGAAGACTAAAATTATCTGGTAATAAATAAAAACGGGAAATTTATAAGTATTTTAATAGATTACAAAATTGTATTAAAAAACATTAAATAAAAAAATTGAATAATGAACAAATATATATATATATATATATATATATATATATATATATATATATATATATATATATATATATATATATATATATATATATATATATATATATATATATATATATATATATATATATATATATATATATATATATATATATATATATATATATATATATATATATATATATATATATATATATATATATATATATATATATATATATATATATATATATATATATGTAATGAATAATGTGTACATAATAAGTGAACATTTTATTAAAATTAGTTTTATATTATTTTTTGTTTATCTTATTCGAAACTAAATTATTATGTACTCTTTATTCCTTATTTAGTTTTCTTTTTTTATATATGTTTTGAATATTATTTCGTACTATTATGTAAAAAATATTTGTTTCAATATTTATTTTAAGTGAATATGCTTGAAAATGATTTAAAGAAGGTTTATAAAAGTTGAAACTGTATTTTATTAAGAAACAATAGGAAAATTAAACTTTATATTTGATTTGGAAAAATTAAATATATTCATAAACCAACTAAGAGAATCTTTTTATAAATGTGATAGCATAGTTATATAAATAAATGATTAAAACTAGTTCTGAAAATTCCGCTTCTTCACAAAATTGGAGACTTTGAAATTCATGCACTTCTGGAAAAAAATTAAGACTTTATCACATAAAACCCTCCATTATATGTCAGATTAGGATTTACGATTGCATCTTCTCTCTCAATCCTTCTCTCAATCAAACTTGGAAAATCTTCTGAAAAGTGTCCAGAATCAAAATCTTTATCAAAACTAGTTTTGAATCACAAACGTCATCCCTCTCTTTTAAGCTTCAATATTTCTTCAAATTAGAATTGTTGATCAATTTCACTATCGATTTAGAATATCTCTCTCTCCTGCTTACAACTCATGCCGTCCATATCAAGCTTATTGTGGATATCCACTACAAATACAAATACAAACTCTCTTTTTCAAGCACTCTCGTATTGTATTTTTATTAGAGCTATGAAAGGTAATGATATCTTGAGAGGTTGTATTAGAATAAAAAGTTTAATTTTATAACTATCAAGATAAATAAATTGTATTAAATTTATTGATATTTCATATGAATTATTTATATAATTGATTATACGTTTTTTTATTCATTTAATTTGTAGGCACATCAATACGAAAATAATTAGCTTGTGATTATTTGTAATGAAAAATATGTTTGATATTATCCAAACTGACATATTGCAAGGATTACATGAGGTAATAATAAAAAATTTCAATATTTAATCAGTTCATGTCTTAACATGTTCTCGTTTAATTTATTTTATTGTCAGCATTTATAGATATATTATGATTCATCATCATATGATAAAGATGTTATTAATAATATCTGATAATTATGGGCTCAATTCTTTTTGCAAATAGTTAGAAAACAACATCAACTTGAAGAGAAAGAAACAAGAGTCAGAAAAAGATGGTGTTTTATAGGAATTAATAATGACTTATTATTTAACATAGTTTTTAAATATAATTTTGTTCTTCAATTTGGATTTACACTTGTGGATATAATTTGTTAAATTTAAACCAAAATTGGTGAGTTTAATTTTGCTCAATTAAAGCAATAATAAAAATTTTACGGGTGCCATGACCTCAACTTAATTTAAGATTACGCAATTATGTTATATATATTTTCACATTCATTTTAGAGAATAATATTTGTGGATGGTTTAATTAAAATCAAATCACACTTGATGTCATTTATAACACCAACTTTAACAAAAAAAACAAGTGTGATACATATGCTATAACAACATTATAAAAAAAAAATTATACATCTAATTTAAGAACAAAACATGGTTTCTAACCAAATAACACTGTTAAACTTTTAACACCCAAATTTGGGGAAAATTGGTACGATAAATATGTTCAACATATTTTGTAGGTAAAAACATATACCTTTTAAATTTTAACACCGGTTTTTGGAAAAAGCAAGTACAATCTATAAGTATTTATACCTTTTTGAAGGAAAAAAATGCTGAATGTTAGTTTTAACACCTATATGTAGCATTTATAACACCAATTTATCACCGGTGTTAAATCGATTTACCATACATTTTTTAAAACTTGTGTCAAAATCATACTTACAATATTGATAGCAACAACACCGAAAACAATCAGGTGTTAAATCTATAAAAAATTGGTGTTAAATTTCTTATCTAGTGGTGATAAGTTTTGTCTATTTTTTAATGATTTAAATATCACTCTTGAACAATCTTTGTAGTGGAAAATATAAGCAAAACACTAACATGGAATCCTATTTACCCATTGCACAGTTTCCTCCTAGAGTGCCAACATGCATAAACATCATCAATCACTCATCAAATACTTAAATTTATTAGCATTCATCACAAACATTATTTCAAATTTTCATAAAGACCCTAATTCCCTATATATAACATTCCTAAACTTATCCTATTTATGATCAAACTTAGAGAAACCCACCTTAACGCAAGAGTTATATGATGATCTTGATGAATTTGATTGGATGTAAGCTTAATCATCTATTAGCTGAACTTTGTATCTTCTTCTTCTATGACGAGGAAGCTATGATTCGATACTTAAAACCTAATTAAATTTAGAGGTATTTTTTATAAGCATCTTATCCACGTACACATTTGAGTCTATTTATTAATTAGTTTTGACTCTTTTAGTCGAGCTGTTTAAATATTTATTTGAATTTCTTTTTTGTTGAAGTTTTCTTATACCAAAAAAATTATTGTAAACAACTCTATAGACTATCTTTTTATTAAATAATACAAAAAGAAATAGAGAGAATTTACGACTGAATTAATAATGAGAAACAACAGCTAAAAATATAAACAAAACTAATAGTAATAAATTTGAGATCACCATTTATCCTCATAGTATAAACTTTATTAGTGGAAGAAGACATGATTTATTTTTTTAATACAAAATAAAATTATAAGCATATGAAGTGCTAACCGAAAATTAAAATTGAATTGATTTTACTTCCCTTCCAAAGATGAAACTAAATTAAGTTTCAAATTTTCTAAAGAAGCCTTATATTCCTCAAGGGATTCCAAACTCATGTCATCAATAGAATAATCCCACCAATTAGGAAAATTAGAACTCTTGTCTTTTGCCTCTATTGCATCTTGTAAATTCTTCTTCTCTTGTTGCAATTGTTCTAAAAGTTCCTTTTGTTGAAGACTCAAGATTTCAATTGTTTCTTCATCTTGCCTCCTTATTTCATTGTTGATCTCATGGTTTTCCATGCCAATAAAGTGATTAATGACAGCTTCTGGATTAGGGTAACCACATGCATATATTTTATCGTTTGGTGAAGTGATAATCATTGCAGTTTTTGCTTTGCATAGTATCGATAGCTCAGTGACCTTGTTGAAAAGCCCTAGTTTGTGTTTTGAGAAAGCCACACGACACATATCTGATTTTTCTACTTTCTTGATTTTGGGTTTTCTTGATGTGTTGTTTCCAGAAGAAGAATTCATTGGATCTTTTTTTCAATAGAAGAGATAGAAGAAAAAATTCAAGATAGAAAGAGATAGATGATCCTCCCTTTTATGTACACACATCAAAACCACTAAGCATTTATGGAGATTATATTTCATTAATACAAAATATTTTTATTTTTGAATAATATCTTTTGTAAGATTGTTTTTATTTTTAAATATCTTGTTGTAAGATTGCAATAAAAATCTTTATAGATTCTTAGTTTTGAAATCCCATACTATAATTATATCATTAACAAATTTCAAACTTTATTTTTAATAAATTCTCTTATTAATTTCTTTAATTTCTCTTATCATTAACTATGTTTCTATAACTCAATATTTTAAAGGGATAAATATAAATTCTACTATTCTTATATTTATATCTTTAAAATATTGAGTTATACTCAAAATTTCATTAATATTTTATTATATTATTAGGATACATAACCCTGAACGTATGTAGAAATTCTATTGTTTTTTGTTTCAAGTTGTGCTTAAGAAATATTAAGGTAATGAGATATAAAATATTTTGGACAGTGAAGATTGGTTGCTTTGAAGGATGTAGAATCAGTTTAGTATTTTGGTTTGACCTTGTATTGAAACTTTTGCAACAGAATTAGTAGAAGATATGGATCTCTTGATTAGGAGAGCTGAGAGGTGTCTAGAAGCGGGTGCCGACATGATAATGATTGATATTGATGATGTTTCAAACATGCTGATAATATGTGAGCAGATGTTATCACAAAGATCATAGGCCTCCTTGGTCTGGAGAAGACTATCCAATGTACATAATAAATACCGATTTATCAATACTTAGTTTTTCCAGTAATATGTTTGTACTTTGTAGTCAAGACTGTGTTATACGCAAATCTACCAGTTTGTGTTTCTGATAAATTTCTTTGCGGTTGAATTCAGTTTAATTAGAGTAGTGGACAACCTGCACCAGAATCCATCACCGACAAGATTTACGGAAACACCCTATTTGTAAGTGTCCCATTCAAGTATGCCTTAATATTCCAAATCTACATTCCAATTTTTGAAATCACAAATGATATTTTTCTCAACTTTTTCATACAATTTCCGCTGACACAGATTTCTGAGATAAAGATTGCTGATATTCTCGATGTTAGATTGCTGATATTTTTGTCTGCATTTGTTGTGTTCACTTGATGATGTTTATGTATTTAAACTTTTGTTTAGGTGATGGTGATAGAAATATGATTTTGGGAACTAGTTTCTTTGTAACTCCTTCATATTTTGTAGCTATTATTGCAGCCAATACAAAAGAAGCGATTATGTACTTTAAGAACAGTTTCAAGGTAGAAAGTTTGTGCATATATCATATTATTGACAAGTATTCATTGTTGTTGATCCGCTGTCGCGCACGGATCAAAACGAGTGTTTTTACGCAACGGTTTCAAAACTGTAGTATTTAGCGACAAATGGCTCGAATATGAGGCAGTGAATCCGTTTGTTATAATCACTCATATCAAAAACAACTTATTTTATAATCACTTTTCATAATCAGCTTATTTGCCTAAAATCGAACCAAACCCTCCCTTTAATTCGATTTCAGTTAGTTAATAATATTTCAAGTATCAATTAACAAGCGCGATTGACACTATGAGATACATGTTCCTATGGCCGGATTAAGCATTCGGTTAAAAGTGACGCAAATTAACAATTAAGCAAAGTCAATCGCGATTAAAATTTGGGAACATTTATCAATCAAATTAAATCAACAATGTTATATGAAAATCGAATTAAGCAAACAACAATCTCATAACATAGTTGAAAGGAATCGAAATTAAATTGCAAATGCTATAACAATCTCAAAGTTGGAACCTGAGTATAGTAAATCCGTCATAAAGGTTTTTAGTTCTCCATTGATTCGTACAAAGCTTTCTCTTTTTCGTGAACAGTGAATGGGATCCAAAAATTCTGTAGCATCTAGGTAAAAACTAAAAAGAAACAACCCAACTGGGTCGGATACAAAACTCAGGCCCAAAACAAATGACCCAAACTTAAATATAAAATGTTACAACTTCAACGACTTTTTCAACCTTGCTACAGCCCGAATCAGCATCTGGCCACAACTAGAAAGTTGTAGGTCTTTTTCTTATCTTTCCAACCAATATTAGAACGCCTCAATCCGATTCCCGTAGCTCCAGTTATGAATTTTTCCGCGAAAGCTGCAGTTGCTGAAAATAAAATACGAAAATTAATTAAATGCAAAAATAAAATAAATTAGCAAAACATATTAAAACATAAAAATAAACACAATAAACTAAAGAAATGCATTAGTACAATCGTGGAAGGATGTGCATCAAAATGTACTGATCAATTGTAAACAAAAGTGTCATTGTTCTGTATTGTAATTGCAGGGTCTTGCATGATCAATGCCGACAAGGGGTGATCTAGATAGAGTTACTGAAAAGTTTAACCTCCCTTTCTTCGAGGTGGATTTTGTTTTTACATTTTGTTGCTTTTAAAAATATTCTCGATTATGATTATCATTCAAGCTATGGTTTTTGTCTTTTTTATATGTACTTTACTAATATTTGCTTAACTATTTTCATGGGAAAAGAAAAAGTTCAAATGGCTCTCTTTTGTGCCATTAGTGTCAGCTATGCAGGTGAGTCTATAGTTGTTCTCTCAATTCTCACACCATATTAACTTTATCATTGGATTTTTAAGTTTTTGCTTAAAAGATATACATGTAGCATTAGTACTGCTTGCTAAATTTTGAAAGTTAACCCCTGCAAAGGAACCTTACTCGGTCAGAGGCGGATAGTTGGTTGATCAAAGAAACAATGGCCCAGTTGCCTTTAGACGATTCAAGTTGCTATGATAAGGAAGATAGCTCCTACAATGGAGAAGGGGACAAGAATTAGTACATGAGATAGTGCAATGTAGAACTCTGTTGATAGGTCAAGTGCTATAAGCAGTTCTCTATTGTTCTTCAATAAAAATGTAGCATAATTATCACCATCTATTTTGAAAGGGCATAAAAAATTGTCCCCCGAGAAAGAAAAAGGCTGTCTCTTGAGAGGAACGTCAAGAAAAGTGATTGCAACACTAGATGTCATTGTTTATATGTTTTATTATTTTAATTTATTCTAGATTTTTCTACTTAATTTGGTTGCCAACTCACTTTAAGAGATGATAACACCAACGAGTACTTGTTGTTGCTTAACTCATTCAAGCTCTTTATTAATTCTAAAGGTATGATTAATCAATTTAGTGAGCCTCATAAATATAAAATAATTGTGTTATGTTGGAGAAATACTATGGGTGTCATCTTAATAGCCTTAGGTAAGTCTACTTCTCAATCTGTCTTGAACTTCATTGATAATTATAATTGTGATATTTAATTAGTGAACATTTGTCTGCACTTTCTATGGGGATTCCATACTTAATTACAGGCCTGTATATGGATTGGTTTTTCTTTTTAAATGGCGTCCAGGAGAAAAGGATGAATGTGTTATAATCAAAGATCTCAACCCCAACTTAGTTTTTGCTATCCAGGTTTTTTTAAAGGTTAAATACGAAAATCATTATACATATGTACTTTTACGGTCTAACCAATATTATCTATTCATTTGTAGGTGAATCTCCGAAGACGAAGTCAGAACCTGTCGACGGTCATTTCTTATCTGAACGCGATAAATTAAAGATCGAAAGGAGAAGGAGGAAAGAAGAATGCCCGGGAGAGGTTCTGAGTCTAAATTCAGTTAAATTTTGTTCACGGTTTTTCTTCTTTGTTATTGTTTATTTCTAAGTGATTATGAACAGGGGGTTTTCGGAGTTGCATATCTAAATCGTTTTAAATATATATTTTGGCAGAACCATTCATTCTCTCATTTGTTCATTTGGAGTTGTATTCCCATTGTATTCACTCAAATATCTCTTTTCTAAACTTTGAGCAAGTTCTTGAAGCATTTGAGCAAATTTCAACACATTTCAACTCATTTTACATTTTGTACTTTCTGAACTTTTATATATTATTTTTCGGTATTTTTGAACAATTCATTGTTATTTCGTATCATTTCTCTATTTGTGTGTTTATTAACGTTTTAATTGAATTACGTATCAAATCTTTGTGTTCATTACGTACCGCATTGATGTTTTTTTATAAAAAATGCCACAAACAAATCTCGGCTTTTGGAAACCATTTTGTTTAGTGTTTCGGATATGCATATCTGAAACACCTTTTCTCACGTCTTTAGGGTGTTTCCGGAGATGCATCTCCAAAGAAATTTTTATAAAGCATTTTATGGTGCATTCGAATATGCATCTCCGAAGGGCAAATTATGGTTTTCACAGGTTTGGTTCACCTGATAAGGGTGTATTAAAAAATTCCTAAAGTATAAATAACCAACCATTGCTTCTTGACTTGCCAATGGTCCACTAAAATTTGGTTTGGTTCTAACCTTAAACTTTGACATCATGGATAATATATTGATAGCAAAAAATAGTAAGGTTTATGAAAATAAAATTGTACCTGATGTAATGTCCCTTAGTAGAGCTTACGAGGGCGCCAAAAACTATCTGAAAGCTAACAAACCCTTTTACGATAAGAAACAAGACAACGTCAACAATATAAACTAGATTACATGGGCGAAAAATAAAAATATATTAAACAATTCGGACAATCTCTTGAAGGTTAAGGAAACACAAGAAACGGGAGGGATTTGAATTGGGTTTCTAAAATGAAACTTTATCGTGGCCCAAAAAAAAGAACAAAGAACTTAGAACAAAAATAATGAAAACAATATTTTTATCCTGGTTCGTTGTTAACGAATCTACCTCAAGTCCCCCCGCCAAGGTGCTTTCTCCTTCTCACAAGGACTTAATCCACTATAACCAAACTTGATTACAACCACAAAGATCTATTGTCAATGTCTTCTTAAGACTTCTGACTATACTCTAGTCTCAAGTAATAATCAACTCAAAAGTTGAGATACAAAAGGTGTATTTACAATGATACTTCTATG